AGTTTATTTGTTTATGTATTTTTTCTCTTTTGGTTTTTCGTTTTCTTCTCTTATTTTTCTTTCATTTTGTCTGCGTTATATTTTGATGTCTTGACATTTTTATTTATTGTAAAAAATAATTAATTATTTATTGTAATGTAAAATAAATCATATTATTATTGTTTTGTTTTTTTTTTTGTATTCCTTTGTGATGCATTCTTTTCTTTTCTTAGATTAAATTTTCAATTTCTAGTAAACAATAGACTTTTACAGATATCTGAATTAAATTTTAAATTTTGACGAATTGTTGCAAAATTTTTTACCTTAAATTTTCTATATCAATTAATTAATTTCCTAAATGTTTCTCTAAACTGTGATAAAACTTTAGATTTTGACGGTCTAAAGAGGTAAAATGCAGTAATAAAAAACGTAAGAAACACAAGAATTTTTATTTTGAATATTTAAAATATTAAGAACTAGTTTTCAGATCAAATTCGTTTATTTTTGTGAAAAATCAGAAAAAAAAAATGACCAAACTGTGCAAGGTGGTAGATTTGAACCTTCTAAGTAACATCCTGCAATATTTATCTGTAAAATCTTTCAGGGTTTGTCTTTCTGAGATTCAGACTAGATCAATTTTTTTTTTAAATTCACCCAATTTTAATCAAATGAGGTAATAGACTCTGACATGTTTAGTGGAGAAAATTAACTTTTTTAGAGAAAAAAAATTATTTTTGAAGTAAATTTGTTTATGTAATATTTTTTCTTTTTTAGTAGTTAAAGTAGCACTTTAACCGCAAGGGTAGATAAAATATTTTCACTTATTTTATTCATTTAAATTTAGAAATTTTATCATCCACGAGGTGGAATAAAGCGTCCGATTTACACTCAAACGAGTTGAATACAAAGTTTTTTCTTCGAATTAGACTCATCAAGGCTTAAACTTGCTTTAAATTTGTTAAAAATAATCTGACGTTTCGTATTGAGAAATGCCAAAAATTGTAATTTTTTTTTCCTGCTATAGAAAAAAATGTTGTATTATACACGACGATAAAGATTGTTTATAGTCATGTATAATAAATAACTATTTTTCCTTTTCTTTATCTTTCTGGTCTGTGTCTATGTCTATTATTGAATATCTTTTCGATTTTTTGTTTTTTTTTTGTTGAGTTGAGCTAAAAATTCAATAAACAAAAAACATGTAATTTTGACAGATACTTGTGAAATTTCAGCGAATTGTTGCAAAATTATTTTACTTGGATAAATTTTTTCGATTAGATTTCTATTTTTAATTCCCCGAATCTTGCTTTACGTTTCCGCTAATAAAAACTTTATTGGGCCATTATTGTTTTCGATTATGTGAACACACAGAGTCGTCAAAAAAAATCACTGCAACATGAGACTTTAATCTTTAATTAATTCATGAAATTCTAGATTCTTATTGAATTAATCAGCACTTTGAATCGTTCAATGACGACACCGGAAACGCCACACTTTGCAAATGTCCATTGAAGCAATTTTTATGGAAGTCAGTCTCATCAGTGATGATTAATAGTGGTTGACCCGAATATTTTTGATAATTTCGAGTCTGTTTAATTTTTGTTAAGAAAAAGAACATTTATCAAAAAAAAACTTTTGTTGTACACTGATGGTTTGCCAAAATTAACAGTTTACACAACCTATTTGTTAATAATGTGGAGTATCAAATAATCTAAGAATAAATCAAAACCTAGCCTTGAACACTCTGACGGCCGAAACGAGCTATTTTGGGTGATCGGAAAATGCAGACTCATTTTTAAGACACAAGATTAAAACCGATCTGGTTGCGGCAACTCGGGTCATATTTAAAAAACAAAATTATGATAATTTCAGAAGATTGAAAGGTTTAGTAATATAGAAAATTTGAACAAATTGATTGATGGAAAAAAAACTTATTTACTAAAATAAAAAATCTACTAAAAAATTACAACAGTTCAAGATTTTGCAAAAAAATTTTTTTTTGTTTTTACATAACATGAAAAGTCCACTAAAACTTTAGTAATTCCAGTAAAATTTCACTATTTTCAAGTTAGTTATTATAATTCCAAATTAATTCTTTTAATTACAAACTAATTCTTAAGTAAATGGGAAAGAAAATTACCAGCGTTTTCGCGAAATTTAAGTCACAAAAAACTGACCTAATTTTCAAAAGCTTCATGCTAAAAAATTTTTTCTGCCAAATGTTGTCCAACATTTCCATGTAATTATTAAAAAAGCTCTTATAATTCCAAAATAATCCTAGTAATTCCAGATAATCTCAATAATACCAAATACTTTTAAATAATATTGTGTCAAGTTTATTAATTCCAAATATTTGTACAACTAATTTCAAAAAACAAGGTTGTCATAATTTAAGATAACACAATTTTTTTAATTATTTAACTTTTAAGAAATTTGATCATTTTTTTATTTGTATAAGTGCAACACACTAAAAAATTGTTATAGTCTTAAAGTTTGTACTTTTTTCTTTGCACTTGTGAAAAATTTTATAACTTGTGAAATAAATTTTTTAAAAGAGTATGTTTTCGTGAAGAAAACCAACTTATTTCAAAAACTAAGCAAAATTGACCAATAGAACTTTAACTTAAAAACATTGTAATTAAAAGCTACACACATCAAAAAATACCAAGAAACATAATAAAAAAAGGTTGTCATAATTTGAGAATTACTATTTTTAATTTTTTGTTAATTTTCTACATAGTTATTACATTTGATTTTTTTAATATTTTAAATCTGCTATAATTTGCTTAAATAACGACATTCACACCCAAAACGATAATTTTTTGGCCTAATTTGGCAAAATCTTGTAAATTAAATAACTTTTTGGCTCACAAACGATATAAAATCTCCCGGAATTAACTGAAAAATCGCAATTCGTATCTAAAACAACGATTTTCTAACTTTTTTCAGCAAAATCTTTTAAATTGGGTGAATTTCTGGCACAAAAATTATCTAAATTTTTTGCAATTCAGTGAATTGTTTCTCATTCAAATTGCTTCACAATTTTTTTGAAAGTAATAATGTCAAAATATAATTTGAAGTCCTTTTTTTATGTTACTCTGTTTTTTTTTTTATACAAAAAGGAATGTTTTAACCCAATTTTATTTTATTAATTCTAGTTGTGTCTCCAATTTTCATTTTATTTTATTTATATCTTTTGTGTAATAATAAAAATAATAGTACAAGTTTGAATTAAACAAAACTGGAAGCTTTTGCTATTTTTTTCTACATAAAGACTTATGTATGAACTTTTAAATGGTTTCCATCTTCCGGAATTGATTGAAATAATGTAATTCATACCTAAAACGACAATTTTTTAGGGAAAATGAAAAGCTAAAGTACAACCATTTAAAAAATTGTTTTTTCAAAATTTTGTAAAAAAGGGGCCAAGTCTTTTTCCATAGCATTTGAATTTCTGGAGTACTTTTTTAGCCGTATTCTAGTCTTTTTATTATAAAAAAAAAAATTTTATGCAGAGTTTAATTTTTAAACCGGTTATTTCTATTAGTTTTCATATAATCGAATTACAAAAACTTCATGTCTCGAGTTTTTTTCAGTCAATAATGTAATTCATACCTAAAACGACAATTTTCTAGCGAAAAGTACAAACATTTAAAAAAGATTTTCCAATAGAAGTTTAACTTAAAAAAAATTGTAATAAAAAGCACATCACAAAATACCAAGAAACATAATAAAATGGTGTTTTTATTTAAAACAACACAAATTTGTATTGTAGCTCAGACAATGTACTAGGTTAATATTTCTCAATTGCCTCTAATTTTTTTTTAAAATTTTGAAAATTGGAGGTCAATAATGGACCCCCTGGGACACCCTGTAGACGGCATGAATCACCCTTTTGAGCTTCTGTTTTTTATTGAAAAATAAATAAATGCCAAGCAATTTGTCTCAATGACCTTATGACGATTTTGCGACTTTTCAATTGGCAACCGATCACGATTTCTTGGCCAACACCGAATTAAACAAGTGTCGATATATTTAAAAACGGGAGTTTTCCTTAACCAAATTGAGAAAAAAATCGGTTTTCGGGTCGCTCAACTCGTTAAAAGTTTCAAAAGATTGCTTCAAATTAAAACAATCCGTCTTTTAATCCAAATAAATATACACAGCGGTGCTCCGATTAAATTGTCCGCTTTTCAAACAAAACCAACATTCGGTTTACTATTTTAATTAAATCGAAATTCAACATCAGAAAAGCAATTTATTAATGTGTTGGACGAACTAATCGACGATTTGACGGAATTATTGCGTCGAAATTAGAAAATTTCCAAACTACAAAGGGTGAAACGACTTTTTAGTGACGATTCCCCAATAAATAACTCACTTCAACTAGCTGCTAATTAAGTTTATAATTAAGTATAAAATATTAGAGCGCCTTGTATACATTTCGGGCCATATTTCGGGAGTGTTGTAGAAATATTTTATCAACGCCATCTGGTAACGGTATTTTTAAATTTAGACCTTGGGCCTTAATCCGTTTTCAAAATTTTGACTTAGGGGATTAGGATTTATTTTGCTCGAATTTATTCGATTCCGTCATCTTTTGTGCTCCCAAATACAAGAAAATGAATCATGCAAAATCCCCAACCTTCAAATGTTGTTTCAAAAATACTCTATTTATTGAAAAGTAAATCAAAAAAATCATAAAAACCCGATAATTTAATTTATTTGACAGTTTTACGTAACAGAAAGTTACAGTTTTATCATTCGGGGAATGGCTCATGAAAATAAACTAATAAAAAAAATTTTCATCAAAACCTGAAAGCTAAATTGATTTCGCCGGTTTTCAGTCTGACGTCACTAACATATGATATGCAACTGAAAACGTATTTATAGAGCTGATATGTGTACAAGAGAGAATGTTAATTTTAGCACCAGATTGGCCATGTTTCCGTGCTAAATCGTCATTGAAAAATCTAATTTTGATTCATTAGCTTGATTAAATTAAATAAAATTTTACGAGCAATAAATTACAACTAGTCAGAGAATTTATTTTTTTGAACGTTTTTGGGCATTGGAGCAACAAAAACAGTCACATTTAGGGGCAATTTTCTCGGGTTTTTTCAGTGCGTTTTCCAAATTTTCGAGTTTTGCTTCTTGGGGCTCATACTGGTGTGGCATGCCTTTCAGGATTTCATAACCCGTTTTCCCGATGAAAAACTGATAAGTCGTCAACGGGGTGTAGTTTCTCGTTGGTCGAATGTAACCAAAAACTGAAAATTTTGACTGTTATACAGGGTGACTTCTAAAAGACGGCAGGAGCTGTAGAATTTTTATTTATGGCCCGATTTCAAAAACTAAAAAACTAGATTAAATGGCTTTTAATATAGTATAAGCTGACAGTTTTACAATTTTTCTAGATGTCATAGTATATTTTAGGCTATATTTAAATTTTTAAATAGAATTCCAATTTTTTTTCATAGTTTGGAAAATATTAGTTTTCTTGTTACAGACATGTGCAACATGTTCTACTTTTACAAAAAAAAATGTTTAAAAAACAGTACTAAAATAAAAAAAATTAA